AATTATTTCTTAAATCAAATCATTGATTTAGGAAATCAATTCCATTATTTCCTGTTTCTCTCACCCGCCCCCATATCCCTCTCCAATTCCCCAAATCCTGCTGGCTGTAAATCACAAAGCCCCAATCTAGGAAATCTGAAATTTCCTCTCAGCTTTCCCTTAATTTATTCCCGTGGACAGCTCAAATCACTAACGGAAGAAATCCCCTTTTATCTCTAAATCCCGTATTAACTAAAATCTGCCAAAATCAGCTCTGTCTTGGGAATTAAAACCATTTCTTTAATTCTTCTTTGCTGGCTGAAATTCTTCAATGCTGTCCCGTGGGCATTGCTGATCTGGAAGAGGTCTCTCACGTTCATGCATTGCTGGACTAAAGGCTAAAGCTTCCCTTTTAATTCCCCTTGCTCCCAAGCATAGAAACCTGAGAATTTCCTCTCAGATTTTGGTGAAAATCTGAGACCGTTATCAGATTTTAGAGAAAGAAGCTTGGAGTTTGCTTCCCTTCCCCTCTCAAGAGAAAATCTGAGATTCTTCTCGGGTTTTGGGCAAAGAAATCAGAATTTATTTCATATTTTGGAGAGGAGATCCTCTCCGTAGCAAAGCCGGCATCTCCGTTCTACATCACTTTATGTCACAGAATGTTGGCCATTAAAAGAGAAGCATAATATTAAGTTAAGTGTTGCAGACATTAGGATGCTCACGTGGATGAGTGTCTTTACTCTTTAGAGACAGGTCATGAAATGAGCATGTAAGTGAAAAGGTTGGAGTAGCTCGAGTGGCAAATAAGATTTAGAGAGAGTCGCCTTAGATGGTTTGGTCACATAATATGACGGCCTTCCGACGACTCGGTTAGGAGAGTAGATGTATTTATAACTGTAACTTATTGACAATAACTAAATTTGAAATTAATAAGTTACCGCTTTCAATCCTAAATTATGTTGCAAAACAATTTCACAGAGTTTACCAGTATATAACATCTCTGTTGCCAAACAATTTCCAAGGTTTAGCACCCATAACATTTAGTAAATCCAGATTCACTCAATTTCCTAAATCCTACTTGTTGCTAAACAACCCAAATAATCCATCCATAATAAGCATGTGGAAGAACAATCACTTGGTGGCCTGGTGGTCCCATAACTTTAATGAAATCAGCACCAAAGCATCAGCTCAAGCCAGATAATTCTGGAGTGGAAAAATGAGTTTTTCGGTTGGAGATGCCCTTACGAGCAACATATAAACCATAGCTAGTAGATAGATTCAGATCAGATAGACATGTTAAATATGTAAATGAGATAATTTTGAGTGATGTGTACGTAAATCCCCCAAAATTGAAATCTTAAAATACAAGCGCATGTCAATAGCGGTTGCATGCAGCGAATACCAGCAGCATGCCATCCAAGCTGCTCAATTGCAACAAAATAGCAGTTAAAATGCCATCATCTCCCCCCAAAAGAACAACTACACAGATTTTTATGCAAATATCTAAAATCCGTCCCTTTCGTTAGCTCTGTAGCAATCATACATTCCAGGGTTTCCAATAACTCAGATTTCCATCCTCGTTGCCTCATGGCTTCATTTCCTGAATAGGAATTAGTCAAATAAGCTCACTAAATAGGAGAGAGATCGTTGCCGTGTGGCAACTTCGAGGCGAGCACCTGTCGTGACAACCCATCCGACAGGAACAACGTCGTCCAAGAAAGCGAAGAAACTTCCTTGAGCGACTCTTTCAAAACTTTACTTCAATCCAAGCACAAGAAGCCGAAGCATCGATACCGTGTGCAATCTGCTCAATCGATATATGTTTATATACATTTGCAACCAAAGAGCCTCTAAAATGGCATCGTTTCTGTTCAAAAGAACAACTACATAAAATTTTTATATACATATCCCAAATCCGCCCCTTCAGCTCTAAAGCAATCATACCTTCTAGGGTTTCCAATAACTCAAGGATTTCCATCCTCATTGTCTCTTGGGCAAAAAAAAATACAAAGTTAAATCTGCTGTTCACGAATTATCAAAATGAATACAAGCAGTATGAAACAGCAAGGAAATCGGTTGCCTGTAGACCTTCCAGGATCACCTTGCGACATCTGCTTGGGCACATCATCATAGCCCGATTAAGCAAGAAGACATTTACAACAAAACATTATGAAATAAGTACAAATTTACTGATAAACTCAAAGAATTCACACAAGAGGATGGCACAATGACTAAAAAGGATAACATATGGAGGAGAAAGATGAATAATTATACATTAAATTTTTGTTTGAGATGCTAATTTTCATTCCATTTGTTTATAGAGATAATATAATAGAGGAACTTGCAAAACAAACATAAAAGAAATTGTCATTTCAAATGTTTGAACTATATTTACCAAAAGATATTTGGAATTTTTTTCAATTTGAACTGCCCAACTTCTTTTCGGAAAAAGTCTGTTTCGGGAGGCTGCAAATAGGGATGCAATTGACTCAAGCCAACTAGCTAGAAGAAGATAAAGTACTGAGATAAATTTCAACCGAGCTGTTGGGAAAACCAACCCATACAGACTATTGAAGGCAACAAAATTATGTTTCGATAAACCAATTGTTGAGGTGGCAAAAACCACCAAATGAACTAAAGAAGCAACAAGGGATGTTCACCATAAAACCAACACAAACAACGCATTTGGAAAGGAAGCAGGCAAGATAACATAGAGCACAACGATAAACATTGTTGAAGTTGTTTACCAATATTTCAACAGCATCTTTTGTAGTGCCACTAGATGGTGCAGAAAAATACAACATCTTATCATCAGATTTGAACAAAAATTTGTATTGCTGTAAATATCAACCTTCAATATGTTAAAATCCCAACCATTCATTGGCCCTTGATCCCACAACCAGCATGGGATCCGTGGAAAGCTTGCCTGGATCAAGCCGATCTATTTCTATATTTGGGTGGCTGATTTAGAAAGGATTATATTAAGGCAATTATACATGATTCTCTAGTTATTTGTTTCTTTAAATAGGGATAGTTTTATATAATAACCAAAAGCTTTTTCCCTCTGCAATTCTCTAAATTTAACATGGTATTAGAGCAAGGCATTTGGGTCTACTTCAAAAACAAGATCATGAGAGATGGAGAGCTTGCTCTTTCGTTCTGTTCCTTCCTGCTCACGTATAATAAACAAGGCAATGATATGCTAGTAACAACAGCTAGGCTTAATAAATATCTTGGCATTTTCATGCATCTGAGATTACATAACAAGATAAGTTGTAGTTACTAAAACGTAGCATGTAGCAGAGTCACTTAAAAAAGTAAATCTTCATTAAAAATGCTTATACACCGCTAGCTCAAAGAGTCAATTAAATGAAAACACCCGTAAAAACTTTTAGCAGGTTCTTGCAGATCAAACAAACAGAATAAATGAGGCTCAAACTTGCCCTATTTAGTCATCATATTCATTTAAGAATAAGAATGTACGCAATAGCTTTCTTTGGGCATTATTGTGATCTATTGAAATCAACTTCCAGAAACACGTTGTTGAAGAAACAAAATCAAGGCAGAGAAAAATCGGTTGCAAATAATTTGACCTTCCAAGATCTCCTCGCCACGCTAAACGGGCATATCATCATAGCCTCTTTTAGTTAAAAGACAAGCACTCAAAACATTACGATTGAACAACAGATTTACTTGTAAACTCAGACAGAATGCTAGGCAAGTTTAAACAAAACAACGAATGCGATGAAAAGAGCCTGTAATGGCAGAGGGGATGAAATAGAGTGAGCGCGCAAGTGTTGTAATAAGAGAACTTACTGGTTCTCCACTAAAGAAGTGATGAGGGCGTCGTCAGCGGTTTCAACACGTGTACCATCGGAGATGCTGGAGATCGACGGTCACGATCAGGAGTTTTTATTTCTGAGTCATTTTATGTAGTAGTTTATTTTATTTTTCAATTTTTTACTGTTTTACCCTTATGGGTGGTCATGATATTGTAGCCCCGAGGGCATTTATGTCTTTTAGTTTTTGTTTCATGTTGGCCTATTTATAGGAGGCCTCATGCATTGTACTAGGGGATGATTATTGATGAATGAAAAAAATTACTTTGTTGTTCTCTTTGTGAGTTCTAAAACTTGTCTAGATCTCTTTGTGAGTTCTTGAGGAGAGAGCACCTTAGATCTCTTTGTGAGTTCTAGTGATGTGCTGTTGAGGTTAGTGATTGTGCTTTCCGCATCTACTCAGTTCGTTCTTCTTCTCCCTCAAGAAATCCCCACCCCACCCAGCTTGGAGAACCCGACCCCCTCTTCCCCTTCTTGCCGCCGCCCCTTGGAGCCCGAGTTGCCGGCTGCCGTCCTAACACCGGCCGGCCACCTTGTCACCGACCTCCCCACATCCGTCCACCACCACTCTCTCCGCTAGCTTTCACTTCTTTGAAATATGAATTTCAAATTCTTTCCAAATTAGAAAATCCAATTTAGGAAAGTTTTTATGATTGACTTCAATTTTAAATTAAATTAAATTGGATTCAATAAATTTTCTTTCTTAGTCATCACCATCTATTTGGAAACTCCCCCTCATCCTCCCAAACTCCTCCCTCCTCCTTGATGCCGCCGGCCCTATGATGGGTCCCCTTTGATTGCACATTAACTCCCTCATCCATGTTTGAAATCCAAATTGATTTCAAAATATTTTCCCTCCAAACTCCCTTAAACTGAAATTAACTTCAATTTTATTCTAAACCTCTCTCCTCTCTCTCTCTCCATACCGTCGGCCCCCTCCCATTAATCCTCAATCAAGACATTAATTGCAATCAATTTTGGGATCAAATTTCAACTTACTTCTCTCCTAAATTGCTAAAATCTGAGAGTAATTTCAGATTTAGATCTAAACCTCTCCACCCCCAACCTAACCTAATTTCTACCAAGAAACCTAACCTCTCCTCTCCACCTCTCAAAACCGCCCACCACCTTTCCTCTCTTTGGGTTTTTCTTATTCATGCTCCCTCATCTACATGCAAAATATGTATGGCGGATTCCGAAGTTGATCACGGATTCGTACTCGACGTCTACGGAGACATCAACATTGTTCGATCCCCATTCTTCGACGTTGGGTTTGGCTTTGACAACACCGTTGAAGATTACTTGAACCGAATCCTCCCCACCCTCGTGGACATCATCGACGACCAATTCTTAGACTACGAGTGGACCATCAACAGCCATCTCCGACTACTTTCCCAACAAAGACGTTCCTCGGCTCGTCCGTCCTAGTGGCTACTTCATTTCTAGTCTGGAAGATCTTTCTCCGCTCAACCTAGATTCATAGGGAAGAGAGTAGATCCTCAAGGTGAACAACTCTTTATTAACTTTTGGATTCATGTTATGAGCGTAATATTACAAAGGTGAAGAAATGTTACGCTCATAACATGAATCCAAAAGTTAATAAAGAGTTGTTTTGTTCCTGGCAATTGTATTGATGTATCACTAGAACTCGGCGGTTGTTTTGTTATTAAATTCAGTCAATATCATAAAAAACCCATCCAAACAGACCCTAATCTAAATTTAACCAAATAAATATTTTAACTATACAAATCCTACCATTTAATATCGGATTCAATAAATTTTTTAAAGCAAGATTGTTTAAATTTACATCAATTTTATGTCTCTTTTTCTATATTTAAATCAAAATCTCAAAAATTTTGTCAAACAAATTGTTAAAATTTAATCAGATTTAACTTATATGATGGCAAGTAGTTCTAAAAATTAAACGTCTCGAAGTTTTACTAAATCTGAATTGACTAGAATTACTACATCCTAATTGAATTAAATCTTTCTAAGAAAATAGTTTATTTTGTCGGACTTCCTATGTGTTGTTGCCAGCCATTTCTTTGCCTATTGAGGTTTTCGAGTTAGAACTTTCTGTGTCTGAAATTTTTAGTTCGTTATCGAGAATACTGCTTCTCTCTTCTTTGATATAGCTAAAAAGAGACGTTCAAGAATATGATGATTTATTCGTATTAAACTCCAGAATTTTTTTTTTCTGACCTCCGTTAATCTTGCGTTCTACATCGTGAGCCAGACCGTTCATGCGAGACCCCTAGCATCCGCTGTCCATTCTCAGTTCAATAATATGATGATTTATTGGTATTAAACTCAAGAGCCATATCAAAGAAGACAAGCATCATTCTCGATAACGAATTGAAATTTCCATACACCGTAATTAAGAAATTACAGAAAGTTCTAACTCGAAAATCTCAACAGGCAAAGAGATGGTTGGCAACAACACATAGGAAGCCTGACAAAACAAACTTTTCTTAAAAAAAATTAATTCAATTAGGATGTAGTAATTCTAGTCAATTCAGGTTTAGTAAAACTTCAAGACGTTTAATTTTTAGAAGTACTTGGCATCATTAAATCTGATTAAATTTTAACAATTTATTTAACAAAATTTTTGAGATTTTGATTTAAATATAGAAGAATAGACATAAAAGTGATACATCAATACAATTGTCAGTGACTAATATAGGAAGACACAACAAATTAAGATACTAAAACAACCTATAATAAAATGTCTGATGTTATTGAGCGAGAAATGTCATCCTCTCTCATTGAAAGTACAAACATAGATACTCCCACTTGAAACCAAACAAACTCTAAAAATGTCGTCCTTTCTCATTGAAAGTACAAACTATAATCTTCCAAGCTTTCCCCTCATCCATGAAGTTTCCAACTATGATCTTCATATTTTTCCCATTTTCTTTTCTTTTTTTTTCTGCTTTCATACGTAGGAACATTGGTAAGAGTTTAGATGATTGGATTGATTGATAGGAAATAAAGGTTTAAATTAGAGAGAGAGAGAGAGATCAATAGCACCTAACATGGTGCCATTTGAGAGCCCAAAGACTATTTTCATATCTCATAGAGGAATTAAGTTAATGTGTCATACATTAAAACAATGGGAAAGAGTACATTAAAACAATGGGAAAGAGTAATTGAGTACAAGTTCCGACGTGATACTAATGTTTCTCAAACTTAATTTGTATTCATGCTGGGTAGGTCCACTATGGAAGCTAGACATTTATTGAGAGATTTGATGGAAAAATATAAAGAGAATAAGGAGGATCTACATATGATATTTACTAATTTAGAGAAAACATATAATAAAGTTTCAAGAGAAGTGCTTTGGAGTGTTCTAAAAAAGGAGTTAATAATGCTTATATTTAAGTTATTAAGGATATGCATGCAGAAGCTGTTACTTGTGTTTAAACACAAGGATATTTGACCAAATATTTTTCCTATTTCAGCTGGATTACACAAGGATCAGCTTCAAGCCCATATCTTTTTGCTTTAGGCACGAATTTCTTACTAGACATTTGCAAGAGAATCTATCCTGGTGTAGGCCTTTTGCCGATGAAATTCTTCTTGTAGATAATACTAGAGAGGGAGTTCAAGAAAAAACTTGAAATATGG